GGTTTGTCTGTCATAGAATGCATGTGAATAAGGATTCCCGGTGGTTTTCCTTCATAAAATGCACGTGGGTAAGGATTCTAGGTGGTTTTCCTTCATAAAGTGCACGTGGATGAGGATTTTAGGTGGTTCTTCTTCATAAAATGCCCGTGGATAAGGATTCCAGGTGGTTTTCCTTCATAAAGTGTATGTGGATAAGGATTCCAAGTGGTTTTCCTTCATAAAATGCACGTGGATAAGGATTCCAGGTGGTTTTCCTTCATAAAATGCATGTGGATAAAATTTCCAAGTGGTTTTCCTTCATAAAATGCACGTGGATAAGGATTCCAAGTGGTTTTCCTTCATAAAATGCACGTGGATAAGGATTCCAGGTGGTTTTCTTTGAAAAAAAATGCATGTGGACAAGGGTTCCAGGTGGTTTGCCTTCATAAAATGCACGTGGATAAGGATTCCCGGTGGTTCTCCTGAATAAAATGCACGTGGATTAGGATTTCGTCCGAAACCGTAATTCTTCAGCTCCGGCCTTGCGTTGAAAGGCTTCAACCTTGATATTACCTCCAAATTGTGGTTCTGGGTCTTTTCCAAACCCCCTTCCAGCCTCCAGATTGAGCTTTTGGCCGTTTCTATGCCTTTTTCAATTCCCCGAAATGGCTTTTTGGCGTTTCCAGACCCGCTGCAAGTCCGCAAACTGGGCTCTCTAGCCTTTTTCAAACCTTTTTCAAGCCCCAAATTGGGGGTTTTTTGGCCGTTTCTAAACCCTTTCCAAGCCCTCAAATTGGGCCTTTTGGCCCTTTCCAAACCCCTTCCAAGACTTCATATTGGGTTTTTGGGCTTGTTCCAGACCCCTTCCAAGCCCCAAATTGGGCTTTCTGGCCCTTTAATGCTGCGACGCACCATGCTGGAAGACCTCACGTGGCCTCAGCACTGCTATTGGCTGGAGCCACTCTTCAGGTTTTGTGTGTTTAGGGAAAAGTGGTTGTATGTAGGTCTGCTGACTTGGTAATTTTGTTTGCTGAACGTCTGTGCAGGCCGTGATGGATTTTGCGCTGAGCGGCATTCCCATGTTTTGTTCCTGGGCTTGCATGCATACAGGCATGCGTCTCGTCGCAGCGGTGTTTGGGATTTCGAGTGCTATATACTCATGGCCGTCTAGCTTTTGCTCTGTGGTGGCTGCTGACGTGCAGGAGCGCTTTCGCTTTTCTTGGCATCAGCTGCAGCGGATCGTCTGCACTCCGCCTGGCTGCTGTTCGCTCCGGCCTGTTAAAGAAGTGGCGGTCGACCGAGCCTGACTTTAAGTGGCGTCTACATTGGACTGGCTGACTGTGTTGCGTGTCTCCCTTGCGGATTTTCTGGTCGCTCTTTTAACCGTGCATGACATTTTCTGGGAGGCACGGTCGATTGATTCGTGGACAGCATCGGCTTTCAGTTTTCTCCGCTCATGTGAGACTCACAATCTCGGGAGTTCTCCATGCCGTCGGCGTTTTCTTGGTCTGTGAGTTATTCTGAATCGCTGGAGTCTGAGTTCGCGGCCTGTATCGAGTTAGCGTAGAATACCAGCTCGCGTATGGTGGCCCCACACAGGGCGACGGTCTTTGGCGTGATTCCGTCGTTGTTCTCGGCCTCGAGGTTGGCTTGGTATTCCAGCAAGGTGAGGACCGGGTCTCTGTAGGCTTGGTCGCACGCGAAGTGCAGCGCTGTGTTGCCTTCCGGATCGCGATCGTCTACCCGCGCTCTTGCTTCTAGTAGTATGAACATGATGTCCCAGCGCTGTGCCATGGCTGCTTCGTGCAGGGGCGTGTAGTCGTCGCCTGGCTGCGGGTGTGGCGACGCCCTTGCGGCCAGCAGCATTGTTGCTACTTCGAAGTTGTCGTTTTGGACTGCCTCTAGCAGAGCCTGGTCGTTGGCCCGTCGTGTGACATCCGCTCCCGCTTCCAGGAGAAGCTTGACGATGTCGGAGTTGTTCTTGTGGGCTGCGAGCAGCAGAGCATTCGTGTGGTAGCAGGAGGCGTCGGGGTGCTGCGGTCGGCGGAGGATGGCTTCGACTTCTGTGATATCTTCTTCCTCGATCGCGTCCAGTAGCTCCGTCTCGGCCTTCGGGTTGATGTCGACGTATGGAAGTAGGATTAGGAACAGTTCCTTGACGTCGGAATCCAGGAGATGCTCGTCGCGAAGCTCGGCGGAGTTGCTCTGGCGAAGTAGCCGCTGCTGAAATCGGTTTGCCTTGATCTTCGGTTGCAGCTGCGTGGCGACGTCTCGGACCTGGCGGTGTCCTTCTCCCAACTCTACGTCGGCAATCTTCTCGCCGCTTGCTGTCATGTATACCGGTACAGTCCTCCTCGAGAGCTCCATCAGGGCGACGGTCTTGTGCCGGGGTGCTGTGCAGGACATCTGCAATTGTTCGATCTGAAAATGCGGCGACAGTTGGGTTGTGTTGTTGCTGGGGGGCTCAGTGTGTGCCGGTGCTGCAGCAAGCCTAGCTGACAAACATGCCGAGCAACGACTCTATATGGTGAGAGTGTGCAAGCAGCGTGACATGCACGCTCACATCGTTTTTTCATATATTTCCGAGAACTTTGGCTGGCATGTTCTGAATGACGAATGCGCTGCCTCGGGCGTTAACCGTGCTGCAACGGGGTTGTGTGGGGGGGGGGGGGTGCCTGTACGTGATCTGTTGCAAGCAGTCGACATAGTCACGGACCGGGGTTGTCAGAGTCATTTGACACTGTGTTGCAGGTTAATCCTCGCGGTTGAATGCCTTCCGGCTTCACTCGTCGACCTGTCAGGACAGGCCGGGAAGAGGGTCAGATTTGTTTCGTGAATGGCGCTGCCACAATAAGGTGGGTTGTTCCTCCGCTGTCGTCGAGCAGGCTGCGAGTGGGAGCTATGCTGATGGCAGACGTGCTGGTGGCACTGGTGTGTTTACCTCCCCGCTACGTGCCAGAGAAACGTCGGCTTGATGCGAGTGAAAGCTTGATGTTTGAAAGGGTTACGACGAGCGCAGCATGTCCTTGTCGCAAAGCAGTAGTTGTTGGGTGCTTGCTGGACTTATTCTGGCTTGCGGGCTTCAAGTTTCTGCCGGTGCGGCCAAGTGCTACTGTTCCTGTTCGTATATGATGGTTCATTGCAGGACTTTCTTGGTTTACTATAGCCACGAGCAAGAGCCGTTGCATGTGCTGGGCTTGTCTTCGTATGACACAGCCTGTAAGCTCAAGTCTGGTCTTGACTTGCGTCGCTTTGTCCGTGGTTCTCTGCATCGGTGTCTGTGTCTGTGGCTGAGTTTGTCGTTGCAGCCACTTTGGGTCGGCAGTTGAAGCAGTGTGGGTCTCGAGCGTCGGCCACTCGCCTGCGTTTGGCCGTTAGCATGAACTCGCACATGCTGCGTTGGCCACGCGGGCGCGGCTTGCCGCAGACGCTGCTCCAGCCGCTCGCACTGCGAACCGCGAAGACGGCTGCGTCCCAGTTCTTGCACACGGCGCTCATGGAGCGCCAGACCGGCGGCAGGACGGTGCCATGTACCCGCAGCTTTGCGTAGGAGCAGGGCAGGGGCGGCACATAGTCCTCGTCCACGTCGGAGTCGTCGTTCTCGGGCAGCAAGGCTGGAGGTAGAAAACTGATGTCGAGCACGAACTGCTGTGGTCGCCAGAGATCTATCGGCTGTTTCCTCCTGCTGCCGCATGTCCCTTGTTGCCAATCATACATTATGGTCAGCAGCCTGATGTCGTAGTTCGGATGGCTGTTTGGAGGCACTGCCAAGCTTACCATGGCGGCAGGATCCAGGAAGCAGCACGCGAAAGAGAATAGTTCCGGGTAGTTGCCCGCGGAGCGTGCGATTTTCAGCGGATCCTTTTCGACTCTACCTTTTTCCGTGACGAACTCTGATCCGCGCCAGCGCTTGTGGTGCCGCAGTAGCTCTAGTGCGAGGTGCTCAGCGGTCCGCTCCACATCTGTGCCGAGTGGCGCTTGGTGGCGGTCTGCTGGACCTGTTTTGATCAGTGGCTGGTTGTGGAGGTGCTCGAGGATCGTCGCGGCTGCAGTAGCAGTGAGCGACGCGGGCGCCATCTTCTTGCTTAGTTACACTCCCTCGTTCTTCGTGTGGACGCAGAGGGCTGGAGGCGCCGGCTTGTGCAGCTTGTCTCGAGCAGCAATTGCAGACAGGATATGTTTTCAGAGTCGCATGCGGCAATGGCCTGTCTGCGCAGTGGTTACCCGTCGCTTGCAGTTTGTTTCCTTTCTTGCTCGCTCTCCAGTAAAGGAAGGCTTCCGTTCCTGCTCTCTGCTTTCTAGATAAGCGAGCTGGTTCTCGCAGGGAGTCTGCATTCTTTAGACTAGAGGGTGATGTCGTCTGGTGCCTCTTCTGTCGTTTGGTCGTACAGCGGGCGCTGCATCAGGTGGTGTCGTCTTTGCCGAATGTCAGCTGCTACGGTGTCGAGGTGTCTTGCGAGGGTGCCGTTCGAGTTGCGGGTTTCGTTGCTTTTCAGGAGTTTCCACAGTAGTTCTTTGGTTAGTCCTGCGATGGTATCTTGCTTTTCCTGCTGGTTGTCTCTGATGCTTCTGCGTTGGTTTCTTGCTTGAGTATCGTTTGCTTCGCAGGGGCTGGAGCTGTGTTTGTCAGCTTTGAGGCATGGGCTTCATCGTGGTGTTGCTGGACTCGTTTGTGAGTTGCTTGCAGCCGTTGCGTGGAAGCGTGTATCTTTTCTTTGCTCGATCTAGCATTGCTGTGGCTCGTTGCTGGCTTTGTTTCGGTGAGCGATTGTGTCTGCGTACATATGTCTAGCACATATATATATATATGTATATGCATGTACACATGTTCTTGTTCTTGTTATTGTTGTCTGCGTGTATGTCTATGTCTGATATGTTGATGCAGTGTCGATGTATCGTTTGTCCTGTGTGTTGAAGGCATTCCTGCGACGAGGCCGTGCCCCGGTGTCTGCCTTGCTGTCATGACCGTGGGGCGTGTGCGAGCATTTTTCCGCTGTCGCCCCTGTCCGTGTTGGACTGTTTCAGTAGGAAGTTTCAGTACGGCGCCTGGTCTTGTCTCGTTGGCCATGCTTCGGTGCCGGTCGGTGAGAGTCCGCGCTTTGCTTGGATCGCTGTGTCTGGTGAGGAGGTTCTGTGGACTGGACCGATGCTTTTCGTCGCATTTGCCTTGCGAACCGGCCCGGCGACCAGCTGCTTCTCTTTCGGCGCTGTGCTTGGCGTAGGAGGAGATCTTGTGCGCACTCGTGCTTGAGGGCTTGGGCGATCTCGTAGTGGAACATCGCCCGCAGCAGGTTTTCCTCGAGGTTGGCTTTGGCATGCAGCAGCAGCTCTGCGGTGTCGGGCTTGTTTTGCAGGCACGCTAGGACCAGAGGCGGCTCGGCGGGGAAGCCGTAGAAGTTCGGGTCGGCTCGGGCCATCAGCAGCTGTGCGACCACGGTGTTGTTTCCTTGAGATGTTGCTGCGCACAGGGCGCTGCCCCCTTTTCCCTCGGTGATGTGCGTGTTTGGGTTGGCCTTGTGGAACAGGAGCAATGCAACGGCTTCTGTGTGTCCTTCTTTTGCGGCATACCAGAGCGCGGTTCCGTCGGCTGTGTCGTCGGCAGCATTGATGTTCGTGCTGGCTTCGAGCAAGGCTGTCACGCCGTCTAGATAGTTTGCGGTGGCTGCCGCACACATTGCAGTTGTTTTCATGTCCGAGGTTGTGTCCTCATGTTGGATGAAGTGCTGCAAATCTGCGCGAGCTCGAAGTAGCAAGGTTGCAACCTCTTGGCTGTTTGCGGTGCAGGCTGCGACCAGGGGTGTTCGGTCGTGGTTATCGCGCGCTTCGAGGTTGGCGCGGGCTCGGATCAGCAAGTCGGCGGTGTTGTCTTGGCTCTGCCAGGCTGCCTCGATGAGGGCGGTCTCGTCGCGGCGGTTTGTGTTGTCTACCTCGGCACGTGCGCGTAGCAGCGCTTTTACTGCATGTGTACTGCCTTTTCCTGCTGCCCACCAGAGCGCGATGTTGTTGCCCGGTGCATGCATGTCGGCACGGGCTTCTAGCAAGAGCTCGATGATGGATTCGTGGTCTTCTCGAGCTGCTGCTTGGAGGGCGGTGTCGATTCGATCTGAGTGCACGCTCTCGTCGTCGCTGTCGTCTTCTTGGTGGCTGTCTTCCATGGGCAACGGCAAGGACACGTTCACGTCTTGTGGTCGGTGTAGAATCTCTATCACTTCTTTTTCTCTTGCCAGGTCGCAGGCGTGGATCAACTCGAGCACGTTGTCGCGCGTGGCGGGAATGTAGCTAATCAGCATGAGCTGGAGCTCTGCCGGAAGAGCTATTTCGTTTTGGTCTTGCAGGGTGTGGGTGCCGTTGAAGAGTCTCTGTCGGAATCGCGGCATCCCGTGTGTGACTTGCAACTGTTGCTTCAGGTAGCCAGCGGTTGCATGCTCAGGAAGTTCCGGTAGGTCGGAAAGCTCTTCTCCGGACAAGGTGTAGATGCGCAGGGATCTCGCAGGTTCTCCGCTCCTGGGCGGCTGCTTGGCCATGCTTGTCTGATGGCTTTGCCGGAGACTGGATCGGTGCATTTCTGTTTGTTTTTGAGCCGGAGTGCTGCGCAGGGTGGTGTTGTTGGCTGCATTCTGCAGTTGTGCAGGCGGTGTGGCGTGGAGTGGGTGGCCTGGACATGTCTGGTCGGTGTTACGTCGGTCGGGTCTTTTCCGTCGCATCCTTTTGTTGAGAAGCTTTCGTTGCAATTGTTCTTGATGTGTTTTTGTTCGACCCGCCGATTGCCGCTTGCGCTCTATTTTCGTCTTGCTGACGGCCTGGGCCACATTCTGTATTCTGGCTCGCAGGTTTCTGCGAGGCAGCTCGTGTGGCCCGGACTTGAAGCTCTAGGACTGGGACTATTCGGTCACGGGCCGGTGGCTTGCTCAGAAGTGCGGACGACATGCACGTGCACGGTGTCCTTGTTGAAGCTGCACTCCAAGAGGTCCTCCCAGCTCCAGGTGTCCGTGATCAGGTCCTTGCCCACGACCAGTTTTGTCGTATCCAGGCAGATCGGCCCGATGCGACTGCTGTCCAAGTCATGGAGCAGGACTTCTCTGGGGTTTCTGTGCGTTAGTACTTCTGCAGGCAAGGGCTTGTTCGTCTTCTTCCGTCTATCACGTAGCTCGTGCAGGGTGAGAAATCGATCTGGGTTGTTCCCTTCGTGTAACGTGGTTAGCCATGCTTCGCGGAACGACCCGCAGTCAAGCTGGCTGAATGGGTAGGGCCTCGAGGTGTGAATTTCCTCGCCGTCCATATTCATGTACTTCACAATTATGTTCGACAGACGTTTGTTGTGCGCATTCTGGATGTCCATTTCTTTGTTCCATGCCTCTCTTTCGCGCGCGTTTTCCTCGGCTTCCCGCTGCATTTCTGTGTGCATCCAGTCGCAATCGTCGAACTCGTTCCCACCGTCGATCGAGGGGCTCGGGGCCTGGATGTATTCGTCCACGTCGTCCAACATCGTTTTCGCGCCAGCTGACCTTAGAAGCACGGCTGAGGGATTTCTCTCGGAGACTGCTTGCGACTTTAATGGCGAAAGCAGTCGTGGCTGAGGCTCGTGCCGGACCACAGTCGGGGGACGTTTGTTGGAGCTGGATAGTAGGTCGGGGCTGAGTGTGCTGCGGCGGCGGCGTTGAGGGGTGTGTTGTCACAGGACGTTGTGCTGTGCACCTTCACGGGGCTACCCGGTCGGCAACGGTTTCGGCTTGAAGCACTGCTGGATTGCAGAATGGGTTTGGCTCCTTGATCACAGCTTCGCACGGCATCTGCGGCATTTTGCTCGTTTGTTGCGACACTCTGGGATCTGCTGTCTGGCGGCGAACCATGCCGCATGGGCAGGCTGATGAAGTGAAACTCGTCATCTCGCGGCTCGGATACCGGAACTGCTGAAGCCTTGCAACTGGTGTGTGTGTGTGTGTGTGCCTAGTCTTCTGAGGGTTTACTGATTAGGCGAAGCCTGGAGTTTTTTTTTGGCGTTCATGTTGATGACGCCTGAAGTCTTGCTGCTTGTTCCGTCTGGCGACTGCTTGGTCTTCGCGATCAGCCCGGGCAGGCAAGCAGAGCTCTTTGCCGGCTGACTTACGCTCCGGCGGTTCATCTTGCAGTTCCGCTCGAACAGCAACATGACTTGTTGGATGCTTTGCTGCCATGGATTTTCCGTGCTTCTTGTGTCGCTTGACAGATGTTTGGATTTGGCGGCTGCGTTCGGTTGCTTCTTTTCGCGGATCTTGCGATTTTTGTTGTGGCCGTTCATGATGGTGGAACTCTGTGTTAGGCGTCCTTGCTGCGATGCTGTGCTGGCCGAGGCGGTCTTTGTGACAGCTGCTGGCTTGGACCTCCGGCAGGATTTCACTTGCTGTCTTGTCTTGGAATTCTCCGCTTCATGGTGCGAGCGAGAGTGGCGTGGGTCCAAACCTGTCTCTTCGGTTGCTTTCCTGGTGCGTCTCCAGTATGGAGCTTATTACGGCTGCTGGGGGTTGGAGGTGCGTAGCTTGCAGCAAGAGTGGCTGTCCGTTGAAGCTGAGGTTTGCATCGGCTTTGGCTTCGAGCAGTGTTTGCACGGTGGCGTAGTGTCCCTTGGCGGCGGCGAGGGCGACGGCTGTCTGGTGGTCGTGGCCACTTGACATGAAGTCGTGCTTACCTTGCAGGATCCGGTGGCACACGTGGGCGTCTGGGTTTGCTTTCATGCCTAGCAGCCAGCGCACGTGGTTGGTCTTGCCTGCATAGGCTGCGCTGCAGAGACTCGCGGCTATGGCGGACGTTTGTGCAGCTTTGCAGGGGAGATCTCCGGTGATCGTGGCGGTTTGCTCAGTGGTTGCGGCTGCCAGAATGTGTTGCATAAACGTCGGGTTGGAATGAGCGGCTGCTGCGCAGGCCAAGGTTACGGTGCTGTTTAGCGTGCGAGGGTTTGCCAGGTCGACGTAATCCCTTGGGGTCGGGTGTGCGGCCCAGCTGTTGGCGTCACGGAGCATGGGCTCTGGGTCGGCCTGGGCTGTTAGCAACATGGTGATTAGACCCGGTTGCTGAGCGTTGTGCGAGAAGTCCTCGGGGTGATGTTGACATGCCATGTCCAATGGTGTCAGTCGGTTCGTGGAGCCACGAGGGTTTGCCTGCTGCCTTAGAAGTAGTTGTACGTAGTGGGCTTGTCCCTGTCTCACGGCCAGGAGGAGCACGTCTTTGTTCTCGGGTCGGTCCAGGGCGGCTTTGGCTTCCAGGATATGTCGCAGGGCAGCTGCTGGCCAGCTTGCTGTCGGGTTCAGCAGGAGCAGTTCGAGTGCTGACGTCGGCGATGGGTAGTATCTGTTGAAGATGGTGTTTGGGTCGATTGGTCGCCATAGGAGCGTTGCCAGTTTTTTGGCGTGTCTGTTCCACAGGGCCAGTCTGAAATCCTCTTTTTCTTTTGAGCCCTCGAGCAGGTGCACATACGGCAGGATGACAGCCTGCATGTCTTTCGTGATTCTGAGGCGTAGTTGGCGTAGATTGCGGTGTGGCAGCCTGCGCGTGTGCTGGAGGACTCTGATTCTTTGCCTGGAAACGTTGCAGTAAGGCTCCAGGTAGGCGAGCAGGTCTTTCACCCTTCGATGTCGATTTGTTTGAGTTTCGGCGAGATGCTCACCGCTTAGCTTGGTGATTCGCAGGTGTCCTGGCGTTGGGGCCGTCTGCAGTGTTCGTCGAGCGAACTTTCCCGGCTTCCAGGCGGGGGTCTTGTGATTGGGCGCGATTGCATCCATGGCTTTCTGGTGGTTACGCATGGGTATTCGGTATAGGCAGGTGCCTCGTGGCTCTGGACCTGCAACATGCCTGCTGATTGGGTGTCCTGCTGCATGCGCTGGCGCGAGCTCTCGCGCTCTGTTCTTCTCGCGGTGGTTTTCGCCGTCGAACACGGCGGTTCTTCTAGCATGCGCGCAAGCTGTTTGACGATGTGTGGCTTGTGTCGTGACTGGATAGCTGGATGGCTGCAGTGCCCAAGGGCTATGCATTGCATTTGCGCATGTACGTGGGTGGCTCCGTTGGGCAAGTGTTCCCTTTTTTGGCTTGCGGGTCGGGCGCTTTTTTCGGCTCCATACTCGAAGCAGTCAAACTTCTGTCGTCTATCATGCGTGCCTTGTCGTTGGTTGACGCGGTTTGTTGTAAACGTAGGGACGTTCTGTTTGTGCTGTTTCTGTATGCGACGAGCTAGTGACTGTACAGCTGCCGCACCTTTTGAGCATGGGCTCTGTCTCGCGAGCTCTCGGTTTGTGTAGTGGCCGGGGGAGCGACGGTATGTGGGTGGGAGGCTAGACTGCTTTATTGCATACGGTCTTGCGAGAGCTCAGCTTCAGTTTTCCACTTGTGTGAATTGTGCCAGGGTTCTCTCCGTCATGTGGAGTACGCAAGCCAGGGTTTTCTCCAATTGCTGGGCGTAGCTTGCCAGGCAACGATTGTCTTCGCGAAGATGGCGTGTTAGTGCTCGCAGCCCGGCCGAATGGAAGCACCGGGCCGCTGCCTTACAGGTGCCGCTCAGCTGCAATAGTGATCGGGCATCTTCTGGTCGAGGGGCCTTGAGTGTTTCCGGGGGTTCTGGACCGAAAGGGGGCCAAGGCGACAGGTGGTGGAGGAGCAAGCCGTCGAACAGGACCGCCTCCTTGGCGTAGATTGCTCTTTCCATGCAGTGCCTCGCTTTCTTCTGTGCGGCTTCTTCTTGACTTCGGCGAGGGCTTCGGTTGCTGCGGAGATTTCCTTTCATCGTGTGGCGGATTTTTTTTGTCGGGAATCAAGGGAATCTACGGATGTTTTT